CCCCCCCCGACACACACACATGGAACTGAGGCCTAGGTGTACATTTTTGGGAATTTGCCTAGCTTTGTTCTCTTCAGGAATTTCTTCAATGGAACAGCAAGTGATATTGCCAGCTGGCAAAATTACATCTGGCAGTTACTGGGACACTGCAGGTTGTAGGCATATCATCAGAGCTGTTGGCTTGCAGAGAAAAATTAGCTTGCAAATAGTAAGGCTTGAAATACAAAATCTTTGAGCATCTGAAGCCACAGTGGCCATTAAGTAATTCTCTGTGGTCACCAAGTGATTTCCTGGCACCACCAAGTGATTGATCCTATCAAGCACTGGGCCTGTCTGCCCTGCACCCACAACTGGGGGTCCTGGCCAGTCTCTATGGAAACCTGCTGGGCTGCTCTGGCGCCCCTGGCACTGAGTGCAGGGCAGACGGGCCCAGGGCCAGATAGGATCAATTGACCCTCCTGCCCCGCAATCACTGCTGTGCTGGGCCAGGCCGGGTTAACCCTGCCCCCCTGCTGAAGCTCACATCTCACTGAAAGTCCTTAAGTGGCCTTCCAGCCCAAATCATTTTCCACTCTGGTCTTGCAACATGTTCTGAAGGTGGACAGATTTTTTGCAATGAGCTTCCAGATTAGTTATGCCAAATCAAGCCACTTTAACCAAGAACATTGCTCTTAGGCTCTTATGTATGCTCCAGAGGAGCATAGCTGCATGGGAGGATGGAGAGATGTTTGGGTTTCAATCTGTTGCTGGCTTTAAAAATCAAGACCAGGGACTTGAACTCTAATATTAGTTAAATGGCATCTAGCAAAGAATCTGAACATGGAACTGTTATGCTTCTGGTGTCCCTTCTTGTGGATAAGGTGGATTGCCACATCCTTTTCTTCCACTGTTGGTTCCAAAGACAAAAGTTTAAACCATGTACAAAGAGGTGACACTTGTGGTGAAATACTGTCCATCCTCAAAAACAGTTATTTCTCAAAAGCTAATCAGCTGTCCTGATACAGTGTAAAAATCACAGGTGTGTTTGGTTGGCAAGCTAAAAATTTAGGAGGTGCATTAATTTAGTTGTAGGTCTCAGAATTGCTGCTTATAATAAGGTTATTAAACAGCAAAGAATATCTTTGTGATGGCTTTTACAAGACCAGAGGATCACCCTGTCGGGCAGGATGCAAAGCATCCAGGGGGCAGGAGCTGGGCCCACAGTCAACGTAGATCAAGTGAGAGAACGCTTTGAGAGGCTTGACATCCATAAGTCCGTGGGCCCGGATGGAATATACCCAAGAGTCCCGAAGGAGATGGCAGACATCATAGCGTGGCCTATGGTGAAGATATCTGAGAACTCGTGGCGCTCGGCAGAGGTACTAGAAGACTGGAGAAGAGTAAACGTGGTCCAAATCTTCAAGGAAGGAAGGAAGGAAGATCCAGGGAATTACAGGCCAATAAATCTGACATCCATCCCTGGAAAGATCCTGGAGAAAGTAATCAAAAGTTCCGTCAGCAACAGGCTAACGGAACATAACTTTCTGAGTGCCCGCCAACATGACTTTGCTGCTGGAAGGTCTTGCCTGACCAACCTTGTCTCCTTCTATGACCAGGTGATGCATTGCCTAGACAAGGTAGATGAGGTTAATGTCATATACCTGAATTTTAAGAAAGCCTTTTGCTTGGTCTCCCATGATGTCCTCATGGTTAAGCTGGGGAACTGTGGCCTTGACCATTTCCTGGTCTAATGGCTAGGGAACTGTTTCCAGGGTCAGACCCAAGGAGTATGAGTTGACGGGAGCAAATCAACGTGGTGCAAGGCAGCCAGTGGTGTCCCTCAGGGCTCAGTACTTGGGCCAGTACTCTTCAACATCTTCATTAATGACCTGGATTTGGGTGCCAGATACAGACTGGCAAAGTTTGCGGATGACACTAAACTATGGGGGAAGGCAGTCACACTGGAGGACAGGCTGGGGATACAGGCCAGCCTGGACAAGCTCGCAAAATGGGCGAACCAAAACCTGATGGCATTCACCATAGAGAAGTACAGGGTGCTCCACCTTGGGAGGAAAAAACAGCATCCTATTTATGGGCTCAGAAGTGCTATGCTCACTAGCACCATGATTGAAAGAGACTTGGAGGTCTTGATTGACCACAAAATGAACATGAACCACCAATGTGATGCCGTAGCTGGCAGTGCAAACCAAACTGTCGCATGCATCCACCAATGCATCTCAAGCAAAACCAGGGACCTCATCCTCCTGCTTTACTCGGCCTTAGTGAGGCTGCAGCTGGAGTACTGTTTCCAGTTTTGGGCCCCCCCGCTTCAGGAGGGACGTGAATAAGCTTGAGAGAGTCCAAAGGAGAGCCACCCACATGATCAAAGGCCAAGAGAGCAAGCCTTATGAGGAGAGGCTGAGGGACATGGGTCTCTCCAGCCTGGAGAAGAGAAGGTTCAGGGTGACTTACAGACTGGTGGCAGCCTATAAGTATATAATGGGTGTGTACTAGGACCCCCCAAGGGATAACAAGGTCTAACAGCCAAAAACTTCTGGAAGGGCAATTTAGACTGGACGTAAGGAAACACTTTACAGTCCGGGTGTCCAGGGTCTGAAACAGACTCCCCCCAGAGGTGGTGCAAGCACTTAATTTGGACTCATTCAAAAAACATTTGGATGCTTATCTTGCTGGGATCATTTGATCCCAGCAGAATTCCTGTCTATGGCAGGGGGGCTGGACTCGATGATCTTGCAAGGTCCTTTCCAGCCCCTAATGTCTATGAAATCTGACCTCAGCACTGAGGTGGGCAGAAGATAATCACATACTCAAGATTTCAGTTTATCTACCTCACTTCTTTTTCCATATCTTTCTCCAGGTATTCCCTGAATCTAGAAAGCTAGGATTGGAAGTGGCTTCTTTCTGATCTGAGTTGGGTTTTCTGGGTGTGCCAATTGACATATCTGTAACAATAGCAAAGTGTTGTGCTGGTGCACCATGAGTGAGCTGGACAGCAGAAGCGGAGGGCCTGTGACAATCCCAAAAAATCTCCATTAGCCTACCAGTGTATATTTGTATATAGTGTACTGATGTTAATTATGGTTCCTTCATTTTTAAATTGATTTTAAGAAAACGTTTTAAAGGGGAATTTTATTGAGATGTCATCCAAGACTATTTTTCTATTAGAGAGTCAGTTATATTTACAAAACTGGTGTTTTGTAAGGAGTGTGGTCTGTTAACATTCACTCTTCTTCTTCCTTAATATAACTTTGCAGCTGAAGCTGAAACCTCTTCATTTTTAAATATTATTTAAACCATCTAAAATAGGGGGAAAGGACAAAAAAGGCATAGCATTTTTTTTTCTTTTAGTAATGATAAACTAATTGTGAATCAGGTTGAGCTGATGCCCAGATAAAACTTCCATAAAGCTCATTTGACCAAGCACTTGTTGAAGCTGTAGACTAATAGTACTTTATCCATATTCCATCACTTTTGTTGGGTGTCCTGTGGTCTTTTCAGGATTCTTTTAAGTTTTCTGTAAGAATGTTAAAAAAAATTTTGATTTTATGAATGAAGGTTAATTTCTCAATTTTACTTAAGCCAGGATTACATGGAAATAAAGGAATTGGACCCTAGCGCTGTGTCTAGTAGAGAGATCCCAAAGAAAACAATTCTTTAGAGCCTTTGAGGTAAAATTAATTTATGCTGGTATTTAAAACGGAAGGAGGAGTAGAGCTTTAAGGTTTATTTGCGCAGTGGCAGTGTCGTAGCTGATGAGGTTAATCTGAGGCATGATTATTGCTAATTGAAGGTTTATTTTGGTCAGGGCTTGTCACAGGTTGACCTGCCTATGACCAACAAGGGAAATGGTTTTGGTAGATGTGGACAATGCTCTGTTGCAAAAGTGATAAGGTTAGTCTTTGATTACAATGTTGAAAGTATCCTTTTATATAAGGCCCAAAACTAGAGCTGTTTCCGCTTCCACTGAAGTTTTTGGATTGGCCAGTTCAGGAACCCAGGAGGGGTGGATAAGTTTCTGCCTTACCATGTGTATCGCCAGTGCACAGAAACTCTTGGGTTGGTAAAATTCTGCTTTGAAAGAATCTAGATAATGTGGTCTCGTCACTCCTAGTTAGTTTATAAGCAGGGATGTGGGTTTTCTGTTTGCCACTGGGAAGCTTCCAAGTTGTTTTAAAATTGTAAATATATCAATAAACCCTTGTGTTCAATCGATATCTCTATATATAGTGGTGCTTCATTTTAACTGCGGACTTTGGGGGTTTTAAGCAGAGAATTTGTGATTTTTAAACAAAGAAAACCAGGAACCCTGTATGACCACTTTGGACATAAGAACCAAATTGTCTGGTTTAAAATGCAGATGGGTGCTTAGTGGGATTTTTCAAGAGTATGTAGGTGTTTAACTCCCATTAAAATAAGAGAGGTGATTAATGGAATTTTTAAAATCTTGTAGGGTGCTAGCTGCATCTTGAAGCATTCAGGTGTTTTGAAAAATATGGTCCTAACATTCTAGGACAGAGGAATAAAGTAATAGGATTGGTAGTAATGAAAAATGACTAGCTTGATTTTATGTTTCTGTTCTGTTGACAGGACATTGTCTGAATTAATGGATCCAGCAAAAGCCAAATTAACATGTAAGAAATTGTTTTTGTTTGTTCTTTGCACTCTGCCTGGTTTGGCCTCAATTGCTAAAGCTGGCATTGATTTTGATGGGAGAATAGGATATTAGAAATATATAGGATAATCTGAATGAAGTGCTGTAATCCAGTCCTCTAAATTTTCTGAGGTTTTTGGACCAGCACTCGATTTAGGTGCCTAAATCCCATTTTAAGTGCCTTAATTGGGCAGGGGGAGGCAAAACTGTGTTCCTTGGCCATACTACTGTAATAGGCTTACTCTAATCGGCACACGGGCACGGATCGCTCCTACCCTGTCTTGTTCTGCCAGTCTGTCACTTCTAGCTATCTTAGCAGGTTAGGCAAGGAATCAAAATGATTACCAGGGACAGAGGGGTTTGTTTAAATATTAAAACTCATTCAGTTGATATTTCTCCCTTGTCCATCCCTCCCACTAATTTCAGGGCTTGGAAAAGACTCTAGTCCCTGCCCCTCTGTCTCTCATCTCCCTTCTCTCCTTTGGTAGTAAATCTAGTGAGAGAGTTTATGATGAAAATGCACTTAACTTTATTTATTGCCGAGTCACTCTATGCCTGTGCTATTACTAAATATAACATCTTTAATGCTTTAGAATAAGTTTCTTTTATGCTCATTCCTAACAAAATGATTGGATTAGTTTATCTGCATTGCGATTCTTTTTTTTTTTTTTTAAATCTTTGCGTGGTGTCTTAATATAAAGCTAACACTAAAGATTGCTGTGCCTGGCTGCCTGTATTTAAATACTTGTTACATTTATTGTGCAGTAAATATTGGGCTCCTCTATATTTGTGTATCTATAGCAAGCTGAAATGGATTTGAGCCAGCCAGTGACTCTTTTATGCTTCTTTTAATCATCTCGCTCTGGTAGATGCTATTGTTAATCTAAAATGTTCCTGCTATTTTAGGATATGCCTACGTAGGCGATATTACCAGCAATTGTACTAAATACTTCACTGCTCAACCAGTTGCTCAGGTATTCTAGCTCTCTTTGTTGCTATGGGAGATTGGAAGACTATTACTGTGCCAGCGCCGTCATCAGGTAACTTCTAGTTAGACAAAATTGGCTATATTTTTGCTTTAGAAAACTGAGAGAGATCATTAGCAGAAAGATATTCAGGGATCCTGGTTTCCTCTGTTTAAAAAATCGCAAATTCTCTGATTTTTAAACCCCCCAAATCCATAATTAAAATGAAATGCCACTGTATATAGGTATCTATTGAACACCATGTTTTATTGATATATTTACAATTTTAAAGGAATTTGGTAGCCTGCCAGTGCCTCAGTCACTATAATAAAATAAATTCTAAACGCCTATACATTCTGACATTTGATTTTGGGTTTTTTATCACGGAAAGTCAGAGGGCCCCCTGCCCCCTTCACTCACCAGGATGCAGGTCCTGCCCCCTTGCTCCCAACCCACAGCTGCCTGCCCTGCCCTTCCAGCCTTGCCGGTGCCCCTCACTCACCAGCTACAGACCTCCACACACCCAGCCCTGCTGGAAGGGGCCCCCAGCTGCCTGGCCTATGGGGCTAGGGACCCACAGCCCCCTGACTCCCAAATCAGCATCCAAGTCCTGGCTGCTGCCTGCTGGAGGCAGCAGCTACTGTGGTGGAGCAGAGTGAAGAGCAGCATGGCCTAAGCAGAGCCCCTTGGGGAGGGGGGTGGGGAGAGAACGGGGCAAGAAGATGAGGCTTCCCACTGCAAGCTTGGGCTCCCTGCTGTGGCGTGGCCTCTGCCCCCGGGCCTTTGGAGCCCAGTGGGTGGTGCCCTGGTGTAGCGGGGCAGAGCGAGGCTGGGTGGGGAAGCTCATTGCCACCACTGGAAGCTCTGCCGTGCCATGGTGAGGCACCTCCTGTCCATCCAGCAGCAGCGACAGGCACAACTCTGTGCTGCCACCTCTGCTGTTGCTGCAGCAGGCAAGGTGCACTTGGCCATGGTGGCATGGTGCTTGCAGCGACAGGGAGCTTCCCTGCCCCACTCTGCTGTGCCATGCTTGGTCCTACCTGCTGGACTTCAGAGGCCCTGGGGAGCAGGGGCAGCCTGCATCTGCCCCCACCCTGCACACAGATCTGGGGTGCATGTATTCCCCATGTCTCCCCCAAAAGTGCACACAGCAGCAGAGAGCCAGCTCCACCCCTGGATGAGCTGCCCGTGGCTTCCTCCCGCTCCCCACGGGGACCCTGCGGCCGAGCATTCTGGCGCTGGGCCCCAAATCCCGCACAGTGCCCGGGCTGGGCAGCAGCCTCAGCCCTACCTAACTCACTCTCCCTCCCTATGGGGGCCTCAGTTCCTCCTCTCCCCCCCCCCAACTCCCGCCAGAGTTACCTGCAGGTGCTGCTCTTCAGGCTACCTGGTGACCATCCATGTGCATGTGTGTGTGTGCACATGCATATGGCATCTCCTGCCTGACTGCCCTCCTCCTGCTCCCTCAGCCCCCTGCAGGCTGGAAATCTGCCAGTCTGCAGAGAGCTCTTTGCAATAGTGGAAAATCTGTGTGTTTCTGAGTTCAAATGGAAAATCCATGTTTTTTCCATTTTTCTGCGGGAAACTGAAAACCTGGATCCCTGATGATATTTAATGGGCACGTGGTATTTCCTGTGTAGAATCAAATTGACTCCAAGTAGAAATACTGGATAATTCAGTAGTATCTAGCACAATTTCTACTTGGGTAGGTGATTTTACAGAATGGTTACTACTAACAATTATTTTCCCATTTGTGAAAGAAATCTAGATATTCATGTTTTCTAGGGTCTGTGCATATATTACATTGATGTGACACTTTTCTTTATTTATTCAGGTTCTTTCTCACTCTAACTTTTGATTTAACTGCATTGAAAGAAAGGGTATTTTTGTGTACATTTGAGTCAGTGGAGAGTAGGTTAAGATGTACAATCAAATGTAATTTATAAAAACTTTCATTTACAAATTTTGGTTATACATGAGAAATGTGTCTAAATAAGCAAATCCAGGAACTTAGAATTTTTCTGTTTTGTGAAAAGATGATTTGTTCTAAGAAAAAGGTTTTAGAATGTTGTCAAAGTTTTACTTTTCAGTAGAAACTGATACCTTGCATTTTGTTTAGAATGTACTTTTAAGCTCTTATTTATAATGAAATTAAATTTAGAACTAAAAGTTCTAGATTATGATTGATCTTGCTTTAAGGGATTGTATGGTTTTTTTTGTGTGTTGAGTTATTAGTCTTGACTTGTTCCTTAATATTTTGAGTTTTAGATAGCAAAAATACTTCTCAATATACCTCAGAAAAAAAGATGTCTCCCTCAAGCTTAAACATGCAACAAGTGCTACGTTTGCCACTGCCTTCATCCAAAAGTACGCACAGCTTTTTCAGTGCCTTCTGCACAGAAGAGAATGTTGAACAGAGTATATCCTATCTTAATAGGGTAAGCAGATTTTCAGATATTAAGAACAATAGTCGATCACCTGTAGAATGAGTGTGAATGTTCTCTGGAATGGAAGAACTTAGTCTCATGAAGTAGGCTTTTTTCCTGTAACTTCTCAAAACCAAAATGATGGCATCTTCCCTGCAGAAATAAATGTTCTTTTGACACCCTAATACAGTATTTTTAAGTCAGAAAAAGAAATCACTTTCTTCTCTCCCTCTCTCTCTCACATCAGGAGTTGACAACACTGGGTTTCCCTTCACTTTATGCAGAGTCCAAAGGTAAAGAATTAAACTTAATATCTATCTTAAATTGTATGAATGAACTACTTGTACTTCAGCGCAAGAACCTCCGAGCTCAGGAAGACGTGGAAATGCAGCACTTGAAATTGGGTAGTGATATGGATCATCTGCAGAACTGCTATGCCAAACTAAAGGTAGAAAATTCATTCTTTCATAACTTGCATCATAATGTAATGCACTAATTTAACAATGCTAAATTCTCAGTTGTTGTAATTTGCTTGTATGTTAAAAACTTTAATTATCCTGCATGTTATTTCTCTGGTGTCATTTTTTTCATAATTGATTGAAAGCTCATTAAACTTAATGAAAATGAGTTAATGGGAAGAAGAAATAACGTCTGAATCCTTATTTCTCTAATGATATTATTTACTTTATGAATGGTTTCTGACCACCTGTACAGGAGGAAGATTCATTGGATTAGACTGTTATAATGCATGGTGAATGTGAAAATCTTAGAAGGTGTTTGGACTTTATCTTTTACTAGTATATTGGGAGAGATGTTAGGTTTTCCTTGCTAGAAAATGAATTACTTCATAGAGTAATTAGTACTTCATATAGTAATATTGGTACAAGTAGTAGCAGGCTTATCCGTGCTGCTTTTCAAATGTCATCTAGATTTCAAAGACTAGATTATAGTTCATTCCCTGTATTGTTCCCTAGTCACCTGATTACCAAGTTTCTACACCAGGTCTATTCAAAGCAGTTGCAATGCATTTTTGACTGCTGGCTTTAATTTTGACCAAGTTGGTTGTAAAGGCTCTATAACCTTGTGTTCTTTTAGGTTAAACTATAACTGATGGTCCATTATTGTTAGTGTTAGTGGCAAGAACTGCATGGAAAAAATTATATTTGAAAGTACATAGCAAATTTTGAATTGTAGGTCAGCTGCGAGACAAACTTTCTTTTCCTCAATAATATCGTACCAAAGCAAATGTGATTTCAGTGGATAACTGAGCACCTCTTTTGCTTTTCAAGAAGATTGGCTATCACTGTTGTTTTCCCTAGTATTTGTACTTTAGTAGTGCATAGAAGTCTCAATTTGCCTAGAAAAATAACGTCTTGATTCACTGTACACAGCAGTCCCAGTCCTGAGGAGTTTAATTTGCATGGAAACAAAACTGTCATGCAACATTTAAATTCCCTTTTGTGATAGTACTGCTTTTGGAAAAATGTAATTTATGAAATGTTAGCTGCCTGCACACTCAGCCAAATTACTCTACCTTGCATGCATCTGGGGACATTTTGCCTTCCTTGTTCTTGTGTTGATGCAATGCTCATCTGGCCCTCAGGCCATACATTTTTTTTTCACAGTTTTACTTTCAGTTGTGATGGAAGAGTCCTTTTTTACAGATGTTGCACTGTGTAAGATGCTACCTGTATTAAGTTATGGCATACTTAGACATTCCTAAATTAGTGATTTTACAACCAGGGTGTCATAAGACCCTATTACAGGTTTCTTGGGATGCTGTGCAACGTGGCACTGCTGTGGGCGACAAAAGAAAGCCAGAGATTTCAAATAGGAATCCAAAGCATCAAAATGCATCTTGACCTGTTGTGGACTTGCTCTCTTATTTTTTCCATAATCAAAATGAATGAAAGCAAAGAGTTGGCATTTTCTGAAGGGTTGAGATCCACTGTCCTAAATGCTCATATACTTTCTTCATATTTCCCTACTCTTGATATTGACAAAGAAAATGGCCTCGAGTAGTTTGATATATCTTGGCCACACAATTTATTGCAGAACTGAAGCTGCAGTATTTTGCTCTGGAATCTAACTTTAAAAAAAAAGCAGGAGGTGTATTTCTCACCTTTTTTAGCTGTGACCAAAACCTTCAGAATGTCAATTGATAGTCATTAGTTAATGTAATCTGCTACAGTAACTACAGTGATACCTATCTGAAGCTACACTGAAACAGTATCTGTAAACTGCTCCATTCAGTCCTGAGATTTCTGTTCAAATGTCATTGATCCTTTTTTCAAAAGCAGCCAGCTAAGGTCTCTGAGCCCCAAATCGACAAAAGAGCTGGAGTCCAAAGCATCTAGCTCCATCCCTGACTTCTGTACATATTATAGCATATTGAGTATTTAAAAATCTAAGGGCAGCAAAATATTAAGTGCATTCCATATCAAACTAAAAGTAGTAATATGGTACTGATTTCAGTTTTCTGTGTATGTTCAGTATAATCTCCATGAAATGAATTTACTGTATTACTCCAGTGTAGCAGATTGCCATATGTATAATAGACCCTGTAAACATAATTTCAAAAATTAGGCAGAAGGTAGGGTGGAGATGCACTTTATAGACTAACTGAATCGGAGATAACTAAGCTTTTCTGAGCAATGATCACTTCAGCTGACACTGTCTGATGAGTAGCATTTGGGGTAGTGGTGGATGAAGTACTCTCTGGCTTGTCAAAGCTTATGGATCTCTGATTCTGTTAGTCTATAAAGCCCATCTCTCTCTCTCCTGCCTTCTGCCTGATATCAGGCTAACATGGCTAAATACTTCTCTTTATTCAGAAATTAGGTTCCACTTGACATGGATTATGCAAGTGGGCTCTGCCAACATACTGGATTTTTGATAGTTCAACAAGAACAAACTTGTCTGAAATTAATTTTTTGGGCTTTTTTCTTTTGTAAATTTGAATTAAGATTGTATTATAAACATTTTCTTTAGGAGCAACTAGAAGCCTCTAAAAGGGAGATAGTTGGACTTCAGGAAAGAGACAGACAGCTTCAATGCAAAAACAGAAATCTGCACCAATTACTTAAAAATGAAAAGGATGAGGTGAGTCAGCCTGTACATCTCACAAACCATTGATTGATCAAACTCACATGCAGTGTTGCAGTTGAGCTTCTTTTTAATATTGTGTCCATGTGAAATGGAAGTAATCTGAGTCCAACCATTTGTCAAGTCACTTTTAGTAAACATCAGGGTCCTACAGTATGACCAGTGTTATAGCATTTTTGCCCATAATAAAGCAAAGAAGTGTTTAGCATGTGGATGTTGAAAATGGGGCAGGGAGCATGAAGGAAAAATTATTCAGAACATGGAATGGATCCTTGAAAATCTGAGAGGGGCAATGAGTGAAATCCACACTGAAGTTTTCAACAGACAAGACTTTGCCTAAATTACCCATGTGAGGCTTGGAATTCCTTATCTTTGGTTTCACTGCAGTGTTTTCGTTCAATTATTTTTAAAAAAAATTCTCTAGTTTTTTGTCACAATAGTAAGCATAAGTACTTAGCATGTTAATGTTCAGCTAAGTATATTGGACATGCTATAGTTGTAAATTCTTAACAACTAAGCTGGCTTGTTGGCTGGCTCCAAGACCCACCAGACTGGTTTGAGTGGGCAGAGCCAGCTGCCAATCAACTGATCCTGAGGCAGCATTGGAGCATGTTGGGACTTGGATGGGCCCTGGCATGGTCCCCATGCTTCCGCTGATCAACTAATCAGCAGCTGGTGTTGACTGCCTTTTTGAGCCCCATTGTGGTCCATCCAGCCAACATGGTCATTTTAGCATGCCATTGAAACCAGCCACAATATTATCACATGAAGAATGTGTAATAATTTTGTGGCCAGATTTTGGTTTGCAATTAATTGAATGCTGTGGCCAGGTTACACTTTAAGATGTGATTAACTGGTTAATTGCATCTTACGTATAACATCTGCCAGGATTGTAGTTGTTTTTCTGCAACATCAGAGTTCTCTGAAGTACTTAATGTTACAAGATGCATGCTCTCCTATCCCTAAATATTCCTTTTTTCATTTTCTTTCACAATTACTAATCTCAACCAGTTCATAGTTTTACAGAACAGTGTTGATTTTTGTTTTTTTATTTTAAAGGAAAGATTTTTTTGTATAACTTGAAGAGCTGTATGTTTTGGGGTTTTGTCGGGGTATTTTAGGTGCAGAAATTACAGAATATTATTGCAAGTCGGGCTACTCAGTACAATCACGATATGAAAAGAAAAGAAAGAGAATACAACAAACTAAAAGAGCGATTGCATCAACTAGTTATGAACAAAAAGGATAAAAAGATAGGTAAGTAAATATATCACTACTGTACACAGTTTAGATAATACAGTTCTAAAGTTGTAAATAAAGTTGTAAATATGTGCTTTATTTACCACCTTAATTCTCAGCAACGGAACCCCCTTACCTAGGGTGCTATTTGATTTCAAAACAGTATCATAAAGAGAGCACTGCACAAAATGTGTAATTTTCAAATTCTTGTTTGTAGAGTAGGTGAAAACCTTGGTGTTGTTATGTTTTACACATCTTTAAAAATAGTTTTCTTGTATTTACTTTTTATAGACAGAAGCCAAAGAAAACTAGTTAGTACTCCAGTGAGAATCTTGATAACTTTCTCAATTCTAAATAGGACCGATCCCTTCTACCCCATAATTTCTCACTACTGTTGCTAGCAGTTCAAGTCTTAAGACATACACTTGATAATGTAGTAAAACCTCTAGGCTAGGGGTCTAGACCTGTGGAACCTATGACATGTGGAGCTGTCGCTTAGATGGCATTTGGCACCGTGGGACTCTCCCCACACTTCACTGCAGTCAGTTGCCTTGGGCTCCAGTGGAGGGGCAGGTGTCCCTGCATTGCACCACAGTCAAACTGGGGCTCTGTCGCAGGGGAGCTCTCCCTGCCCTGTGCTGCAGTTGGTTGCCTAGGGCTCGAGCGAGGGGGAGCTCTGCCTATGCCATGCCTCAGTTGGGCAGTTCAGGCTTGGACTCTGATTTTGGGCTGGGGAGTCTTTTTGCAGTACCAAAGTGTAGCTGAGTGGCAAGGAGAAGCAGCAGCTGGGTCCCGGTGCCCACCCACCAGACTCTTGACACAAGCTGGGTCATTCTACTACCCGTCCTCCTGCCCTCCTCTCGAGCTGGAAAATGTTGCCAACCCCTACTCTAGGTATCACCACTGAGGCCCTATATTCTGTTCACCACCTATGAACACGGTTAGCTGGCACTTCTTAAAATGTTGGTAGATTCCTGGAGCCCAGTCTAATTCTAGGGAAAGGGGGAATATTTAAGAGGAACTGTAACATTTGTGTAGAGTCAGATTGTGAGGACTCGGGAAGAGTTTTATGTTTTACTGTCACATCTTTCAGATGCTCTACCATTTCTTAAAAATATTAAGCATGTTCTACTTTCTGCTGTAATGTGGATGTTTCTCTTAAAATACACCACTTCCGCTGTATGCACAGCATAATTTATTTTGTGTTTAGGTTTGCGTTATTAATCTTGCCCTTCAGTACAGTATTGTTCCTTGGAGTAGGCATTTAAGAGTGAAGATAAAGGAGCAACTAAGGGTGCCTGTACACAAGCGCAGAGGCTTCTTCACGCTGGAATTCCAGTACATCAGAGCAGACTCCAATAATTGAGTCTGCTTGAGCGTGGCAATTACTGTGCTCCAGCAGCCTCCTGTATCTTGTGCATCAGCGCCCCATGCTTAAAAATGGCAGCAGTGGCACTTGAACTAAAGTTCGTTGAATGAGCTTTAGTTGAAGCACCCCTGCTGCCATTTTTAAGCACAGGGGCACTCCATCTGCCTTTTCCCCCCCGCCCCCATCTAAAAGTGCCCCAAGTAAGAGAATAGCTGCAGAAAGTATATTCTCAGCTCAGGTTTTTTAACTCTTGTTAGCAGTGCAAGATCAATACCAGGTTTCCCCAGCTAATTCAACCCAAGTTACAGACAACTTGTTTGCAGTGTATACATACCCTAAAATTGTGTGGAAAATGAATATGATCTTAGAAATCATCTTTATAGCCAAGGAGACTATCTATTAGATGGATAATTTAACATCTCAAATGATTACAATAGAAAAGCATTGGAGAAGAGGTAGACATTGTCTTTCACCCTAATTTTGTTTGGTGTTGTTTTTATTTGGGTTTGAATTGACAACATTTCAACTCTGACATGTCTGTGGCAAACTGTTCCATAACAATCTGCATATTTGGAATTAATTTTGAAAACTTAAAGCTCTTGTTGAAGGATAGTTATTGTTCGTGTACCAGGAGACACTTTAAAGCCCAAACATGGATGATCTATTCAGTTGCTGAATACAGATATTCAGCAACTGACAGTATATAAAGCTTTGCGGAATATCTTTATTTTAATTTCTATGGCTCATTGTGTTAGTGCCTGCAGAGCCCTAGTTACGGATGAGGGTCCTATTGTGCTAGGCACAGGGAAAAGAACAAAAAGGCAGACCCATCCCAAAGACCTTACACTCTAACAAGACAGTGTTAACACCAGACACACCATGTGAATATGGACAGATGGGGAACAAAAGGTAACAGTTATACTTCTGATCAGCATGATAATCAATGTTAATGGCACACTAACTGCCTGACTATTGTTGATCTTCATAGGTACTGTAGAGAGTTTCCTTGTGGAAGGATTAAAAGAAGGAAAATTAGAGGGGTTTTCAGATACGTACAGGGAATTCTTTCCAGGCAGTAATAGGAGTTGACAGCTTGGTGGTATATAAGACATGCTAGATAAAGGCTAGGACAGGCCGTGAAGAAAAGTGTTTTTGTCGCATGGGAGGAGGAGCAAATGGACGACTGTGAAGAGAAAGGTGAAGTAATTGAAGTAATAAGCCAGGAAAAATTACATATTTGATGTCAACCTCTCTTATTTCACATGTTGTCTGCTTTCTTAGATTGTGTATTATTCAGGGTGGGAACATCTCTCTAGTCATACAGTACTAATCACTACTACAGTGTCATAAACCAGCTTGTTATTTTTAATATCTAGTCATGGCTTTCTAGTCCTGCCCTGGGAAGAGTTCTCCGCCATGCAGTGTTTTGAGTGTATATAAGCAAGATGAGATGGGGTACATCAAACTTGATGCTTTACTCCAAGCTGTCAGAATTTCCTGTGGGCTTTTATTATCTCTTTATTTTGTTTGCAGGGACTTTTGGTCTCCTGTGGGTGCAAAGACTGATATTTTTTATTTTTTTTAATTTTTTTTTATGTTCAGTATTGGGAGGTCTGCTGACACTACATATTAAGGCAAATATGCAAATGTAGGATTTGTTGTTTAGATAAACACTTTTATTTCACACTCTGAACTATCCTTCTTACCCTTCTTTTTTTTTTTTTTTTTTTTTTTTTAGCTATGGAAGTTCTAAATTATGTAGGTCGAGTTGATGGGAAGAGAGGTGGTTGGAGAACTGATAAAACAGAAGCCAGGTAAGTTGATAGCTATATAACAATGTTCATTAATTGAAGAATGTGTCTTAGTTCATTATTATAAGACTTCTACTTTCAGGAATGAAGAAGAAATGTATAAAGCTCTGTTAAGGGATTACGAGCAATGCCAAAAACAGCTTCTAGTAGAAAATGCTGAGCTGAGGAAAGTTCTTCAACAAATGAAGAAAGAAATTATTTCACTCCTCCCCCCACAGAAACAGAAACCTAGAGAAAGATCTGAAGATGGTATTGGACCAGTAAGTGTTTATCAGTTTTAAAAAGTACTAACCTAGTACTGTGCCACAGTTACTGGGCCATGCAAAATCTCTAACTCTAGCTTCTTGAGTCTGGCGACCTGCACTAGTTGGTATGTCCCAGGCAGTGCCTAGAGTTCAAATAGGCCAAAGCAGAATGTCAGACTCCTGTCTTTGGATGTTTCAGTTGATATTTGGGTATGTCAAGTCAGTCAGGTCATAGCTATATTTGAAAGCTAATTTAAGGTAGGGTGGGAATTTAAAAGACATGAGCTAATCCCAGATAATTTTGGTTGTTGACAAGTGCTTAGATGCTGAGTTCATTGTCCTAATATGAAGGTTATCCTCTTAAGGTTTTTAAGTTAGAAAATGTGATTTCCAGTGAATGTTAAGGAAAACATGGTTATTGATAGTGACACTTTGACACCCCTGATTTAACTAATACACCACACTAATTGATAATGTTCAGGAAAACATGGTTATTGATAGCATCCTGATGCTGGCCCTGGGTCTTGAGTTGACCTGCACATGTTGCTTGCCAAATTGGCCACATGTGCAGGGCCTGGGACACACGTTGCACATGGCACTTGCTGTGGGATGTGTGTTCTACACAACAGCCACGCAGGGCCAGCCTGGAACTTCCTCCCCAACACTGCTGCATGCTGGCTCCAAGACCTGCTCTGGTTGGTCTGGGACATGAGCCTCAGGCAGCACCTGCAGTTTGAGACTGGCCAAAGCAAGCATTGGATCTGACATGCAGGAGTGGGGTACCCACAGTACATGTCCTGGACCTGTTGAAGCAGGCACCGCTGGCACTGAATCCAGGATGGGGTGGGGAAAGGGGAGTGAGCAAGTCCACAGGCATGATCTAACCTACAGGGCTAACCCTGTGCTGTTCAGATGAGTTTGACGCCCCTGGGTTAAATGAATCAGTGTTTCTGTTTGAAAGATCTACAGATAAATTCAGGGAAAATAATACTTCTAAATACAGTAGTTTTTTCTCCAGTTCTGCCAGTGTTTCCTGTTCTTATACTAAGAGCCTGTATATGAAAATAGGATCTATGTTGCCTAGCATTAACCTAATGTGTACTTGTTGATTTCCCCCATCAGAAGTCACAATTGCATTTGATATCAATATGAATTGAGAAATAAGCTACAATAGCTAACTTAATCCTCTCCAAGCAGCAGAAATAAACAAGGAATGAAAACCAAAATTATTCACAACCCTATTTTTTGAGTCATCAATAGTTCCAAGATCATACTGGATGAGTAATTTTTCATTAGAATTTGCATGTTTTTATTGACACAGGACAAGCTATGAAACTGCATTGTGCTATAGAAAATAGGTATATGCTTCTGCATTGTAGCGTATTTGAACCTGGCTTGGCAGAGGACCTGGCTTCTTTAGCATCTAGCATTCTAATACTGCCCTGAACACATACACACTGTCAGCTGTGAACAAAATAAAGATAAGTATATGATACAGAGTAATATAAAGCATAATGTGCAGTGCCAGAAACCAGCCAGAAATGTATGATGCAATGTACATTTATGCTTTGCATTTTATATTATACATTAATCTTTACATATTTATTTTCAGCTGTGGGCAATTCAGTGGTGTTCAGGGCAGTACAAACATGCTAGATGCTATAATTGTATTGTAACGTGTTTATAACTAATATGTAATACAAATGTAAATAAACAAATATTTATATGCTCACTTGATTTGTGAGAAGGCGGTGGAGGAATTGTGGTGAAGAGACAGGGATAAATAAAGAAGAGCAATTGGCATCTGAACTTTGGAAAAGGGGGAGATTAGGGCTTGGGAAGCATCTTTGGAATTGACCATATGGTTTGCTGTCCTGAGTGATAGGTAAGGAAGCAAGAGTGCAGGTGGAATTTCCAAGTTTTGGGGTGTTATTTGGGGAGTTTATTGTTGTTTTTTGATCTGTAGGCTGTTTGTCATTTATTGTAAGCCACTGACTTTCTGAATAGGGCGGGATAAAAATCATTATTATTAAAAATAATATTTTTCCTTGACATGAAGAAATGCTGCTTAACTCTTCCCAGGGAAGGAAAAGAAAGCTATGTCTAAATATAAACCAGGTTGTTATTTTTAACTATAGTGTGGTAGTGATTAGAAGCCCTAATCCTGATTAGTACTGTACAACTAAGCTAGGGACAGATATTAAAAAAGCCAGAGCCCGAATTGATTCAATCTTTGCAGGTTAGTCTAACCTTCAAAGATTGAATTGATTTACAAGTGCACAGACATTCATGTTTAATTCTAGAAATGCAGGCGCATGCCTGCAGTGGCTCAGGCTAGAAGCTGGAGGTGCTAGAGCAGCCCTCCCTTCTGTTTGCAGCTGCCACAAGGATGGAGGGAACCTGACCTGGGGGGTGTGGCCAGGCCCCCAGCAGGGGCTAAGTATGATTCTGGAGGGGTTTAAACCCCCACCCTGGCTTGTAGGGTGGAGCTGGCCTGGAAAGCCCCCACCTGTGCTGCTGGGCCGGGCTGGGGCTCCATGACAGCCCTGCCTGGTTTGGGCATGGGGAGTCATGAAGCCTCTGTGCCCCCAGCCCCAGCTGCAGGGAAGGACCCAGACCCGGTGGCTAAACCCATGCTGGCCCCTCTGCCTCTGCCCTCAGCAGTACTTGCCGGCTGGCTAGGCTCATCCTTACACCCCCAGCCGCTGGCGAGGCAGGTGGATGGCACTGGGCATGCCAGCCGGTTCTGGCCATGCTCCTTCCCCTGTTGCTGGATTGGGGTGTGGGGGAATGGGCAACAGGGGCTGAAGTCTCCTGGTAGGGGTTGTGGGGAATAAACCCCCTCTCTGCTCTGTTTGCCTCAGGGGGCCATGCTTCTGGCCACGCCCCTGCCCTTGCCCCTGCTCTGGCTAGGGAGCAGAAGGGAGGGGCCAGCCCAGCTCTGGAGCAGAGAGCACAGCCCAGCCCAGGGCTGCAAAGCATGCCGGGATGCTGGGGGACTCTGATTTAACTTAAACCAGGAAGGGGTCTGGGACAGAAGTTACGTAAACCGGTTTGGCCCAAATCAGTTAAATCTGATACTATATTCAACCAGGTTCATCTTAAACCAGTTTTAGCCATTTTAAAACTGGTTGATGTGTACTGAACTTCTAGTCTATTATAGGTTTAAACCAGTTTCTGATCACTTAAACCTGTTTACGTTTAACTTCGGTCCCTATCCCTAGAGAGATGTTCCTACCTTGAATAAAAAGCAATCTAAGGAAGTAAGCAATGTGTGAAGTGTGAGAAATTGACATCAATTGCGTACGGTTTTTATGTGTGTTTTTTCTCTTCTGGAATTTGTTTTACATTCTATACATATAAAGGGCTTAGTCTGTCTGTGTGTGTCTGCCTGTCTGTAATGCTTTTAGCCAATTGTTCATGTGCCGCTGAGAGGGCAGGCAGCGATTGGCTGCATGGGCCCAAGTTTGAGCCGCTGCTGGGAAGTTTGTGGTGGCAGCAAATGCCCTGGCTGCCTGAGCAGTGGGGCTTCCCCATGCCTCCTTGCCTGAGGGCAAAGGAGGGGGGTCACAGTGGCAGTGCCCCCTGCCACCTGTTCCTGGCGCCTCACAAACAGCCAGCAGGGAGGGCAAGGCAGTGGGCAGGGAGGGAAGGAGGGAGGGGAGTGGGGCAGGGGGAGGCAAAGGGGCGGTCATGGTGGTGGCAGTTGTCGGGGCCTGGTGGCAGGGAGGGGAAGGAAGAGAGCAGGAAAGGGAACCCCGACAACAGCTGGGAGGGAGGCTGCATGGGCCAGGCTGGGTGCAGGACAGGGGGGAAGCGAGAAGGGGGGAGGGGGTGTCATGGTGGCGGCTGTTGTTGGGACCAGGCGGCAGTGAAGGAAGGAAGGGAGGGAAGCGGGGATGGGAGGCGGGGGGGAAGCCCCACTGTGAGGCGTAGGCAGGTGTGGGGAGGGAGCCCCTATGCTGAAGGCTGGAGGAGGCAGAGTCAGTGGAGGGAGTCTTTGCATGGCCGGCTAATCGGGCAGGCGGGGCACTCCCTGAAATCCGTCGTTCTTGATGGACAATTAAATTCATAGATTCATAGACACCAGGGCTGGAAGGGACCTCAGAAGACCATCGAGTCCAGCCCTCTGCCCCAGGGGCAGGAAGTCTGCCGGGATCATAGGATCCCAGCAAGATAAACATCCAAATGTCTCTTGAAGGTGTTCAAATTGGGTGCTTGAACCACATCCGGCGGCAGTCCATTCCAAACCTTGGGGGCTCGGACAGTAAAGAAGTTCTTCCTTATTTCCAGCCTGAAATGGTCATGGGGGAGTTTGTGACCATTCCACCTTGTCATCCCTTGGGGCGCTTTGGTGAACAGACGTTCCCCCCAGATCCTGGTGAGCACCCCCAATAAACTTATAGGTGGCCACCAGATCACCCCTGAGCTTGTGCTTTTCCAGGCTGAAGAGTCCCATGGCTCTCAGCCTCTCATCATAAGGTCTGTTTTCCTGACCTTTGATCATGCGTGTGGCTCTCCTCTGCACTCTCTCAAGCTTCTCCACATCCTTTT